TCTTCTTCTTCTTCTTCTTCTTCTTCTTCTTCTTCTTCTTCTTCTTCTTCTTCTTCTTCTTCTTCTTCTTCTTCTTCTTTTCTCTCTCTCTCTCCCTCTCTCTTCCTTCCACGTAATCTGGACTTCTGTGGGATCTAGGCACCTCATGATACCAGGGCGGCATTTTAGAAAAAAAATAGAGCCCAAACATTTAAGACCCTAGGGTGACCTGACCTAATCTCACTGCCCCCAAGCCCACTGATCTGATATGGGAAAGGCTTCTCCATAAGCTTTTTCATTGATTGAAAATTTGATTTCCTAGCCCTAGTGCCTGTGTGACTACCCACAGTGAAGGAACTGCTTTCAGACCCTAATCATCTTCTTTGACTTTGGTACTCCTAGCCAGTGAGACCTCCAGCTGATGAACTCCCTCCCCATTGATCTCTTTCATAAAACATCAGCATCAACCCTCTTGGAAGTGAATGTGGATAGTGCTTCTTTCTGTCCATGCTTCCAAAGTCCCCTCATGCTTTAAGGAGGTTTTCCTGCCAGTACTATTCATCACTATAGAGAGCAGGATACAATGTGAAATACCTAATGATCAAATATTAAAATTGCACCCAAGCTCCATCATCCTGGAGACATGTGTTTTGGACCAGCTGTCCAGGAGTGGAAATGGGTTGAACTGAGCCACTCATTCATTCATTCATTTATTCATTCATTCATTCATTCATTCAATTATTCATTCATTCAACAAACATTCATCCTTTTGTCTTTTCTCTCCAATTCCTCCTTGTGACCAGCAAAAAGCCCTTGTAAGGTAGTCAGTTTGGTTTAAGCATGCATTCTAGGACTACAAAATGAAGTCCTTCCCTGGTTTGCCCTCATCTCCCACCAATTCATGCCTATGATCTTAGTTTCCCTGATGTTCTAACCACTTGAGCCAATTAGCAAATAACCACGAATCAAAAATGTTCTCCAGGATTGGGTGGCAGCCTAGGGTAGCGGACAGAGCATTAGACTTGGATATTAAGAAACTTGGGTTTTACTCTAGACTCTGCCACTAATTAATTAGCTGTGTGACCCTAAGCAAATTGCTTAGTCTCTCAGGGCCTCAGTTTCCTCATCTGTAAAATGAGGAGAGAAGACTAGGTCACCTCCAAGGTCCCTCCCAGTTCTGGCATTCTATGAGTTGTGGTGGACAGTCTTTATCCTCAGACTGACCCCATCCTACTCTCAGAGTCCAGTCTTGGCCCTTACCCTTAACTAAGGTGCTGGATCTCTGACACATACTCTCCTGGGCCAGCCCCTCCCTCAAATGAAAGCAAGCTGGTCAATGCTGCCCTTCCCTAAGCTTACCTCACCCCCTCCCCATTTCCACCCATCACCCTCCCCCAAAGCATAATTTCCATTTTTCATATTTTATTTATCTTTTGAAAAAAAAGGAGGAAAAGTGCAATAAAATAAATAGTGACTGTTTTCTTTAGCAATAGCTATTTTAAAACCTTGCTCTCAGGACTGAATAGTGATAGCACCTGGATTCTAGGGTAAAGACCGGAGTCCCTGGGTGTTCCCTCACCATTCAGTAACTTCCTTTCTCCTTGGCACTCAGTTGGCCCGAGTTCTATTGCTTTGAAGCCCCTGACCCTACTTCCAGAATGTAAATGTGTGCAGATGGAAAATGCCAATGGGAAGCGTGCCAGGTAGACAACGAGAAGGTGTGGGGGTAGAGGGGGCAGGAGACTACACGTACACAACCTCCTTTTCTCTGTGGACTACTCTGAACTGGTGAGAGTGCTGCCAACCCCCAAATGCCAAAACCATGAATTTGAGTAGGCTCACACTTGGTCTTCAAGTTAGCTCTGAATCTATCTCTGGCAGCTCATAATGGAAGCCCAAGAGAAAGGGCTTACCAAGTGATTAAAATAAGGCATCCTGAGCCATTAGGAAAAGATCCTTCCCATAGATTAAGAACCATTATCTAATTTTTTTTGGTCCTCCCTAAGTGGAAAATGGTTCCTGAGGGCCTTTGGCCCAGCATTTCAGCGTTGGGGCTCGGGCAGGGGCAGTATGGATGACTTTACTCCCTTCAAAATGAAGACAATGCTGATTTTTTGAACAATCCTTTAACCAAAAGAACATGTATGAATGTTATGGAAAGGGGGGTTAGGGTTATGATCAACTGGGGAAAATAAATGGAGGCACTCACAGTGACCCAGTTCTCAGAATGGATATTCAGACAAACTGAGTTGGGATAAGGAGTGGGGTCACTGTCTATGTCATACTAACTCATAGCCACAAAATGCAGCTGCACAAGGAATGAACAAGCAATGAGGGAGGTTTAGGAGAGGGCCCCTGAAAATCTAGGTGTACATATACTTACTTGTATTGCACAATCGTGGTTGGTGGATAACTGATGATGGCCTGGGGGCCATTACATTCCTGTTTAATCCGCCCTTGCTCGTTCACTCCCTCTATATACATATATACACATATATGTACATATATATGTGTGTGTGTACATATATGTGTGTGTGTGTATATATATATACACACACACATGTATATATATTACAACAACCTCAATTAACAGAAATGGGCATGCTCAGGGAAAGTGATATACCAGTTAACTGAATAATTTGTCTGAGTGTTGATAAGAGAAAACCTTTTTTGCTTATTGCTGAAAATCTTCCTCAAATATATCACTTAGTCCATGCTTCCCTGACTTAGTAAGTAGAGTGTATACATATAGCTGTGATTGAAGTTTTCACAGGTTCAAATGATTTTAAACACTGTACAGGCCTGTAGATGGAGAAGGCTTGGGGTATTGTGCTGGATGAAGATGGACCTCAGGGATAACTCCTGAAAGTTAGTGATTGAAAAAAACTCCTACTCTGAGTCTATTTTGTCTACATTTGCCTCTTTCTTCTAAAAGTATAGTACAGGGAAAAAAGTAATTCTTGTTATTTGAGGGTTTTGATGACATGGGGTCTAGTTATTTGAGGTTTTCCATAGATACACATATGTGTATATATAATATATGTGTACATATATGTATATGTATACCATGACTGCAGAAATTATATATACAAAGCAAACTCCCTTAGTTGGATGAATGTGGAATAAATTCAACAAACCATGGAATAAACTGCATATATTTGGTTCTTTGTCCTTCCCTCACCCCTCCCCCATGATTTCTAGCCTCTCTACTTCTCTAGTTCAGCTATTTCTCCCCCAATTCCAGCCCTATTTAGAAGACAGCTCTCTTCTAACAAGAGGAACAGACAGATTCCACTTTGGATCCTCCCGCCACCCCAGTAGTAGCCTCGCTCCTATATAAACAGGGGGTAAGTTCTCAAGCTCAGACTTTCCTTATTCTGCCTGGCCTCTCTAAAGAGGGACAGAAACACCTTTCCCAGCTTGGTAACCCTGGAGAAGAGGACATCGCAAATATTCTGCAGCAGACTAAATAAAGTAGTTATCTCTAGTCTTGCTCTCTCCAGTTCTGTCTGCTTTTTGGTGAGACTATCCTATGCCCTGAAGATAATTTGGCAGTCCCTTTCAATCCCTCCTTTTGAAAGTCCCAATGGTGCGTAGAAGAGGGGTAACCGTACTCCATTGGTTTTAATCAGATCTCTGGGGTTGAAGTAGGAGGGACTTGCAAGGCTTTGTAACCCTGTGGGAATAAGCAGCATAGGACCCATTAGAAGCAGCCAGATCAGGCCAGGAATGTGCTGTAAATTCTTAATCATGCCCCCGTCTGTTGCATGCTAGACCCATGCATTGTATGATGTTTTCCATATAACTGGACAGTGTCACCCCATAGAAGGTTGCATCAATCTAGAAGGATAGTCAACAGCATCTCTGCAAAATCCAGCGATGCAGACATCTGCCATGCCAGCATTCCTGGTGACGCTGAGTGGGTGACCATCAATCAGCTGGGGATTGAGCTGGCCCCTGCTGGGTAATGTTGCCAAATGAATCTGGACCAAGAGAGGTACCGCCAGGGTTCGGGCGGTATTGAATATAGGCAATGGACAATGGTCGAGGGGGTGATTTTTGAACTGAATATGGACTGTGCGTCTTTAGTGTGGGCCCTCTGCCTAAGCATCTGAACGGCCCAGGCTCTCTGAACAAACAAACCATCACCTCACATGGTAGCAAGTCACCCTGGCAGAAATACTGTTGGTGGATATAGGGTGAACCTGTATGAGTTCTCGTAACCGCTCTTTTCCCGCTAAGACAATGTAGAAGTTAACCCAGCTATTATTTAATCTGTTCTGGGTCAAATCACCACTGAGACCTCATCTAGGTTCTAGGTGCACTGGGAGCAGGTGTGTTTACAGGTGCCAGAGCACCTAGGTAATTAGGGCAGTGTAGATGTGGCCATGTGCTTATACCATCCATCTCTACTCAAAGCACTTCATTCTGGGCCCCTTCTCTGTTCTCACAAGAGGCCTCTAAACCCCTGCTGCTGCTTGAAAATGACTCCCAGGAGTCCCAGCTGCTTTGTTTGTGTGTGTGTGCATGGTGTGTAAACACCCCGTACAGATATAGAAAGCGAAAAGAGGAGACGGGAGGAGGAGATCTTTCAGAGAGGGGCTTGCTCCGCTGCCAGACGATTTCCAGGTCAGCTCTTAGAAATGCTGCCAAGATCCCTGGGCCTTTGCTGTTCATGAAGTGCATTTGCAAGGACATTCAGATTCCTATTCAGGTGTGGCCAAAAAAGAAGCAAATCAACCCCAGGCGGTGGCCTGAGCCTGCTCCACTGGACAAAAGGAAAGAAAAACAGTCCCAGGCAGGTTTGGGGGCAGGTGAGGGTTAGCTCTGGAGTTTCTGAACATGATATCCCCTTGCTTGCCCCACTATTATCTGGATGCCATAACCAGCTCCCCTGTCTTCCTTTGGCATCTCCATACCAACAACTCCAACCCTTGAGAGAAAGGGGCACTACCCTATTGAAACTTGAAAGTCTGAAGGTCTCCCCTCAGCCTACTGAGATGATGATGATGCTCCAGTTAAGTCGTCATCTTGCCCCTGAATTTCTGTGCCCATGAGCCCCTCGCTCTGCAGGGTACAGTCTGGGTACAGCCCAGATTTGTAATATGGTGACTAAGAGCTGGTGTCTAAATGTTGGTGTTCCTTGGGCATGTTGCCAATCCGTGATAAACCTCTAGTTTGTGGGACACTATTTCCTTTCTAGGACTTGTGTGTATATACAGTATATATGTATATGTGTATGTACAGTGTATGTGGCGACTGCCTCTTACTTGGGAGCATGCAGCTGTTTGTAACCAAGTACAAAGACATTAATTAGGGGTTTGCACTGGCTTCTCATTGCTCAAGACTCTGCAGCTGCCCTCCAATGTCCTGTCCCTGGTAATTGCTGGAAAAATGCAAAGGGAAGCAAGCTGATAAATAAGCCTCATTGGAATCAATAGGAGAAGGAACTACGAGGTTGGTGGTGAAAGCTTCCTAAGAGTGATTCGGAAGTGGAACTGTGGGTCTCCATGGCAATGGGAGCCAAAGACAGAGCAGGACTGGTGGGGAAGACTCCCGGGAGTTTGGGAGTTGTTTAACCATTTCTTTGCTTGACAAAAATTTAGACACCAGCTGTAACTCAATTGCACTGTCTGTATAGATGTTATTCTTGCTGACATGTCCAGGGAGCTTTCGGGCCACCTCAACCCCCATGCTGCCTAACCTAGACCACCGCCCTACCCCCCACCTCAAGCCCAGACTTCTGTAGCTGAGAATCAATCCCTGTGTCAGTAAGGTCTGATATTTGTACATAGATTATACATACACATGTACATATGTGCCTCAATGAGCATTGGCTGTCTATCATGGATGTACATAGACTTCATAGAGTACCATAATTTTTTTTTGTAAATATGGACACAGGTAAATAAATATATAAATATATATTACTGAGGATTTATTTTAACATCATTCTGTGTGAAATGAAAAATAAAATTTTTAACAGACATCAAACCTTTTCAGTTTTTTCTGTGCTTTGCTCTGAGTGGCACCCCCACCCCACCCCCACCGTGTCACCTAAGCCTACACTGCTCCATTTCCCTTCAGGGTTCTGTGGAAGATAATGACCTGGGTAGCCAGAGCAAAGTGTCCCAGGTCACCCAGCTGTATAGGCCTCTCCTGGATTCATGCGGAACTCAATGGCCTTCCATTCTCCTCCCTCAGGGACCTCAGAGATCCAAGCCAGAAATTCCCACTTCTGGCCCCAGCATCTCTGGAAGTTGTAGAGAAATAGATTATAATTTGATTTAAAGAAAAACTGCCTAAAAATTCAAAAGTGGCATGGGTTGCCCAGAAAGTAGAGTTCCCCATTACTAGTGCTGTTCAAGAGGATGCTGGCTAACCGTGGATGTGGAGCACTGAACTTGGAGTCAGGAAGATCTGAATTCTACTCCTGCTTCAGATACATACTAGCTGTGTGGCCCTGGTCAAGTCATTTAACTTCTTTCAGACTTACTTTCCTTCTCTGTAAAATAGGGAAAATAATATCACATGCCCCATAGGACCATGACCAAAAGTGGTAGTGATGGATATTGTGCTGTGAAAGCCCTCTCCCTAGGCTCTCTGAGTCACCTCTCCTTGAACCCTCAGCCAGCTATGGGAGGGCAGGGAAACAGAATATGAAAAGGGACAGGGAAAGGATCTTCGCTGAACGTAGAGAAGGTAAAAAACACTAACTACACATTTAGCAGGGCCTAGGACAGTCTAACTATAAGGAGCTTGACTGTCTTGCCATGATATTCTTTTTGGAAAGGAATTGTGTTTCTGGACAGCAGGTGCTGAGGCAATGAGAGATGGGGTGCCAGAGGGAGGAGAAACCACTTATGAGAGCTCAGCAGCCAGCAGAGTCTGGTGTGAATTTAAAAACAACCACAGGAATGAGAAGAGCAAGGCACCTGGAAAGCCCCCCTCTGCCCCTCCCTCTCTTCCTCCTCTACCCCCACTTCTTACCCCCAGGCTTGCTTGGCCTGTTGCCTCGACTGAAACGAAAAATCAGAGTCAGGTTATGTCCTCGTCTCCCAAGGCCTAGGATAGGCCATCCCCCTCCCCCTTCTGTGGAGTCTGGGGAATGTTGAGGGAGAGAACTAACAGACTGAGCAATGTGTTTGTCACTGGCTAACTTGGACTCCTCTAGACAGCCAGAGTAAAAAGTCCAAGACAAAGCCCAGGGCGGTGGACAGCAAATGGAAGCCTCGCTGGGGAAAGGAGAGGAATCCAACACGTCTGTGGATCCCACATCCAGGCCCTGGGCATCCTCATAGGCACAGCGGGGAATGGATCTGGAGAGATAATGTGGTGGACAGACAATAGGATCATAGATGTGGAGCAGAGGGTCTTAGCCTGGGGTCCACCGATCCATTTCAGGGGGCTCTGTGAACTCACATCTTTATTTTCACCAATCTTTGGTTTCCTTGGTAATCTCAGATATATTATTTGACGCACGTAAGAATATTATTCTGAGAAGTGGTCCATAGGTTTCACCAGACTGGCCAAGAGGGCCATGATACCCCAAAGGGTTAAGAACTTTTGATTAAGACACAGGGGTGGGGAACCTGCAGCCTCGAGGGCACATGTGGCCCTCTAGGTCCTCAAGTACAGCCCTTTGACTGAATCCAAGCTTCACAGAACAAATCCCCTAAATAAAAGGAGCTCCAAAATTTAAAGATTGAAGGTAGCTATCAAGTCATCTAGTGATGCCGGCTAGCCTCCTTGCCATCCCTCAAACAAGAATCTCCAGCTTCCAACTACCAGCATTCTCTGTGGCTGGCCCCCATGCCCGCAACTCTCTCCCTGCTCATCTGGGCCTCCTCATCTCTGCCTCCTGGTGTCCCTGACTTCCTTCAAGTCCCAGCTAAAACCCCACCTTCCATAGGAAGCCTTTCCCAACCCCCCTACTCTCTGTTAAGCAACTCTAGTTTATCCTAGACACATCTCACTGGGTCACAGTTTGCATGTTATTCTCCCTGTGAGACTGGGAATTTCCTGAGGGCAAGGACTGGGTTTTGTTTTGCCTTTCTTTGTATCCTCAGAGCTTAACATAGTATCTGGCATATAGTAGGCGGTTAATAAATGCTTGTTGACTGACTAATCTAGTCCAACTGTCTCATTTTACAGAAGTGGAAACTTCAGCCCGGAAAAGCTAAGTCACTTTCTTAAGGTCACATAGAGAGTAAGTAGCAGAGTCAAGATTTGAACTCAAGTCCTCTAACTCCCAATTCAACACTTTTGCAAATACCAGTGATGCCAGTAGATCAAGGTTCGAGACCCAGCTCTTCTATAACTTCCAATGACCTTGGACAAGTTACTTCCTATCGCCAGGCCAGTTTTTGTATCTGTAACTTAATAAGGTTGGATTAGAGCAGAGTTTCTTTCTTTTTATTATTATTTTTTTTTTGGCTAGTCAATGGGGTTAAGTGACTTGCCCAGGGTTACACAGTTAGTGAGTGTCAAGTGTCTGAGGCTGAATTTGAACTCAGGTCCTCCTGACTGCAGGGCTGATGCTCTATCCACTGCGCCACCTAGCTGCCCCTAGAGCAGAGTTTCTTTTTTGCTTTTTTTTTTTTTTTTGCTTTTTTGTTGAGGCAATTAAGGTTAAGTGACTTGCCCAGGGTCACACAGCTAATAAGTGTCATGTGTCTAAGGTCAAATCTGAACTCAGGTCCTCCTGACTCCAAGGCTGGAGCTCTATTCACGGTGCCACCTAGCTGCCCCGAGTTTCTTTTTTTTTTTAACCCCTCAGCAGTCTGGTGAAACCTAGGGACCCCTTCTCAGCATTATGTTTTTAAATGTATAAAGTTGTTGTTTGTCCTTCATTTTCAAAGAGGACCAATGACATCCCAGGTGATGTCTTGACTTGGGCACAAATTGCATTTAAGTAAAGCAGGGTTGCACAAAGTCATCAGCTTCACTCTCCCTGAGTCATCTGATCCAGCTCTAAGCGCCCCACAATGACCACTTCGAGGGGCAGGTAGGTGGCACAGTGGATAAAGCACCGGCCCTGGATTCAGGAGGACCTGAGCTCAAATCCGGCCTCAGACACATAACACATACTAGCTATGTGGCCCTGGGCAAGTCACTTAATCCCATTGCCTAGCAAGACAAAACAAAACAAAACAAAAACAAAAACAAAAAACAAACAAATGAAAAAAAAAACTGCAATGCCTGCTTCAGCCAGTTTCATGGCTGTTGGAACAAATTGTTCTCATCCACCTGATCTGCCTTCACATTGCTTGGGGTAGCACCCCCCTAACTAACTAACTGATGGGTTTGAGGCCTGTCAGTTACCCTCAACCTGATTTAGCCCATCTGCTTAGATGGTTTTCCTGGGCTGCCATGGCCACACATGCTACAGTTTCTTGGAGCCACAGGTGAAAGTTGGGTGACATGGGGACATCAGGGGTGCTGGAACACCCCATATTCCCCAAACACATAAAGTATATAGGATTACAAAGTAAACCAATTATATTGAAATACAGTTATCAAAATATTACAAAAACAAGTTCACAGAGCCCCAAGTTCAAAACTGCTGGACTGGTTGAACTCCAAATTCTCTTCCCATTGTAATATTGTTAGATCCTTGGGCAAGTCACAAGATCGCAGGCCTAGAGCAGGAAGGTACCTCTGAGGACGGTTAATGGAATCCTCTCACTTGGAAATTAAGGAAATCGAGGCACAGGGAGGTAAGTCTAGGTCACAGAGGTAAATAAGCACTCTCACTGGACTTCCCTTTCCCCATCTGTAAAATTTGATTCTGGAAATGATAGGGAGCCCCTGGAGTTTATTGAGTTGGGTGGAGGGGATGAGACCTGGTCAGACCTGCTCTTCGGGAAGGTCACTTTGACAGCTGAGTGGGGAATGGACTAGAGCAGAGAGAGGCGTGAGGCAGGAAGACCAAACAGCAGCCAATTGCAATAGTCTAGGTGGGAGATGAGGAGCGCCTGCAGCAGGTAGAAACAGTGTCAGAGGAAAGAAGGGGGTGTATTCAAGAGATGTCATGAAGGCAAAATCAACAGGCCTTGGCAGCAGATTAGACATAGGTGGGGGCGGGGGTTGGAGAGAGAGAGAGAGTGCAGATTCAAGGATAACACCTGGGTTGTGAGCCTGGGTGACTGGCGGGATAGGGGTTCTCTTGACAGTAACGGTGAAGTTTAGAAGAGGGAGTAGGAGGAAGGGAAATATGAGTTCAGTCTGAGACACGTTGAGTTGAAGATGTCTATGAGAATGTCCCATAACTAGTTGGAGAGGTGAGACTGGAGGTCGGCAGAAAGCCGGATCACTAGAACAAAGGATATAAAGTATCTATGGGCAGTCCTCTCCCCCTGCTGGGGTCATAGAGCTTTCTCTCCTCCCCACAATGACTTTCCACATCCCTGTTTTGGGTAAACCACACTTTCTCACTTTCTGTACTTCAGCATGGGGACAGGGAGCAACAGAGGGGAGAGAGGATGGGGTTGCCAATTGCTCGGCAGTGTGGGAATAGTGAAGGGGGACAGATTCAGCACAGTGGAGAAAATATCAAAGGGAATTCTAGCCATAAAAATCGCTTTCAAGGATAGCACAAAAATCTGCATCTTTTTTGAGTCAACAACTTGATTGAATATTTTTTAAATAGGGCTGACAGCTCTAATTCATAAAATCACAAGATTACAGAGCTTGAAGGGACCCTAGAGGTCATCTTGCCCCACCCCCAGCAGTGCTAGAATATCAACCCAAGTTCTTTGACTCTCATTAAATCCAGAGCACTTTCTGCTTCAGGTTAGTTCTCCCCAAGGGTTCTGGGAAGAGCCCTGTTTATGATAATTGCTTGTGACTGACTTATCAAGCAAAGATCCAATCAAGGCCATTGCTAGAGCTAGTTCTCACCCAAAAAGCTGATTGTTAAATTTTCAG